AAAAAAAAAAAAAAAAAAAAAAAAAAAAACACATCATAGTAAAATTAATTCTCCGCTTCGCATCGAAGCTAAAAAAAAAAACACATCATAGTAAAATTAAAATTTGGGATTTTTAAATTTGTAATTTTTTTGGAGATTTCCCCCATTTACCGGGAACGATGGAAAATTTTTCAATTTTTAAGGGTAATGTCTTTGACTAGATACGATTTGTAATCTTTTTACGTATCGTTGAAAGAAATCGGTTCGGTGATAGTTGAGAAAAATTTGTAAGACACAAAAAAAAAAATATCTCATTGTAAATAAGATCGAATCGAAGCTAAAATATGATTTTTGTAAAAAAAAGTATTTTTTATATTTTAACTTTATAATGCTATAACTTTTTGAAAAATGTATGGATCATTATAATTTTTTTAAGATAAGTATTATTTATATTCTTATTTTATACAACATACTTTTTTTTAAATCGAACTATTCCTCTTTATGTATTTATATATTATAGATATACATATAAATCATAAAACTTGTAATCAGAATATAAATAAGGAAATAAAGAGATCATGTAGCTTTTGAAATAATCCATCAATTTTTTAAAATTAAACACTATCTACAGATTTACATCGAAGCGTTTTTTAAGATAGTGATTTTATTTAATCACTGTCAGATATCATCTATACTTAATCCAACTATGTCACGTCCCTACTATGCCGCGACCCTACTGTGCTACCGTTTTTTTCCTATTGGGGCTAAAAAAATATCATTCAGCAATAAATAACCTAGTTTGATAAGTATTTATACACTTACCATTTTTTTCTAATTATTAGAAGCGATGAACCAAAAAGTCATGCACTTTTTGAGATGTTGATGAGATTTTAAAATTTAAAACGTACTACTCCTACTATTTTTGACTTTGGAGCCACTAAACCGAATATAAATTTTAATTATTTTTAAACAGAACATTGTTTATATCATTATTAATCAAGTTTAGTGTGATATTCGAACCGGTTTACAAGTTAAGTTTGATTTGATAGTTCAAAATGGTCGATTGTTTTACTTAGCAACGGAACATTACATAATTCAAAGCAGAAATAAGGTTTTTTTGTATACTTTACGTTAAAAATAGAGTTATGTCAACAACTTATTTTCTATGAGTAATCAGTCTCTTAAGTAGATAATTTTTGGTGGGTATGGTATACTTTTAATTAGTTTCAAATGTGCATCGTAGCATTTTTTACTGACTCAGACTATCGAATAACAGATAAATAGAAATAATTATTTAATTAACAAAAATAAAAAAAATTCTATTATAAAAACTTATTATTTTGAGTGAATTTGAGCGGCTAGCATTAAAAGAATCACTCTGTATATTAATTTCGTCACGAGGAAGGAATATTCTATTTCTTTCCGTGAGTAAATCTATGGCGATGTAGTTCTTCACTAATATAAAGTACAACGATAACGATGGTAACGATAAAAAACTACTATTTTCATAAAAATTATTTTCTGTGCTAAACTTATTAACTATTAAATTACATAACACATTACTGATGTGGTTATTTTACGGTTAATGTCTGAAATAAAATGATGTGTACGTTTTCTAGTTAACGTGTACATTAACTGATGTTGGAATTTAGCCTTCAAGAAATTTGAATATTTTACAAATTAACTAATGTTTAATAAATTGGAATGTGGTAGTTCAATAGTTCTATTTTTAAGAGGGTTGTTGTTATTTAATTATCTACTTGCATTTTTATATGTAGCAGATATTCTTTAAGTTAAACTGAACAATTTAACTTTCCAATGTTCTATTTAACATAATAAATTTATTTAATTGTATATAGAGTAGTTATTTGCCTTTAATATAAATATTGATAACCATAAATAACAGAAATCATAGTAAAGTAGTGATAAAATGAATGTTTGGTTAAAGTTAAATTTTACAATACATTTTTTCTTTTTTTTTCATTTATTTTATTAAAACTAAGATTACAAGAAAATTTGACCTGTCATTTAAGTATTTTTTCGTTGCTGTTATCACTAACGTGAGTAGTAGGAGGGGAATTTACCGTGATGAATCGGACACGTCGTCTTACACCACAGCGTATGCCACTGTGGCAATGCAAATATAATGATAAGGTACGGTTTTTATTTACCGATTACTGAAACATTAAAATATCATTAAAAATTAACATGTTCTTCGTGTACATTTCGCAACTGGCAACTGGTATTCTCTGAGACTGTTTTGTGTTCTTAAGACAGACATACAAAAACAATATATTACAACGTGTGCTTCTTGATAGCAAACATGCCAACCGTACAGTTTTTTTCTTTACGAAAATGCTAAAATAGTGTAACAGAATATTTGAATTTTAGTAATCATATATAGCGACAATAATGTCGTTTTATTTAATTATTTTCATTATTAGTGTAATAAATTTTGTATATTCCAATCAAGTAGTGTCTAGATTCGAATACAAGTACAGTTTCAAACCCCCATACTTGGCTCAAAAAGACGGATCTGTACCATTTTGGGAGTATGGCGGAAGTATGTAATAATATATTTAATTTATTAAAATAGTTTATTTTTAAATATGATTGATGTATTTTATTATTTTTAATGTAGTAAAAATTGAGATTATAAATTTTTTCCTTTGTTTTCAGATGCAATTGCTAGTGCAGATAATGTAAGAATTGCCCCATCCCTTAAAAGCCAAAAAGGTTAGTACTTATATTTACGTCACAATCGACTTATAAAATTATAATTTGCCATGTATAAAAAAAAATCCCTAAAATAATGTTAGTAATTTTTTAATAGTTCATAGTTATATCCTCTACAAGAAAGAAATTAAAACGTTTTTATGAAATCAGAATAGAGTCAGAGTTTATGTTCTAAGAAATAGAACTTTGTATTTAATTTTTATTGAAATTTTAGAATGAATTTTATGTATTAATTACAGTATTGAATAGATAGTATATGTATCAAGAATACTTGAATTTTAGTTAATGTAGTCTGAGAATAAATATATGAAATAATTTCCATCAAATATTTTTACAAATATTGTTTGATATGATTTGAAATAATTATTAAAATTATTCTCAAAAGTAATAACTGTAGATGTGAAATGTGATATAATTTTAATTAGCTGATCTAGAAAACTTGCTTATTAAAAAATGCTAATTTAATTATTAAATAAATATTTGTTTCTTTTACTAATAGTATTTTGTAATAAATTAGTAAATTTATAAACATCATTACTTCCTTTTAAAAAAATATTCATAAGTTTGTCACTGTATACGAATAAGAATAATTTGAAATTTATTAATTTAAATATTTGTCAAAATTTTTTGACAATTTTGACATTGAGTTGCAATTTTTTACAACTCAAATTTTTATTATTTATTAAATATTATCTATAGGTGCAATATGGACAAAAACTCCAACTACATTTGATTGGTGGACTGTAGAAATAAATTTTAGAGTTAGTGGAAGAGGAAGAATAGGTGCTGATGGCTTGGTTTGTTTTTATAATTGATACATTTATGTAGATAAATTTCTTTTATTATAATATTTTTAGGCTTTTTGGTACACAACTTCTAAAGGTGATTATCAAGGACCCGTGTTTGGCAGCTCTGATAAATGGAATGGATTGGGTGTGTTTTTTGACTCATTTGATAATGATGGCAAACATAATAACCCGTATATTATGGGAATTGTAAATGATGGATCTAAAGTTTTTGATCATGCTAAGTAAATTTTGCTTTAAATAATGTTTTTTTATTTAATAGTGAACAATAAGTAAAAAATTTTCTATTTACCTAGTGATGGTTCTACACAACAACTATCTGGGTGTTTACGAGATTTCAGAAATAAGCCGTTTGCAACTCGAGCAAAAATTGAATATTATATGAACACATTAACAGTAATTTTTTAATGTTATATCAAGTAGATTTTATTAGTTAGTCATAAAATTGATAATTTTTTCTAGGTTTTCTTTCATAGTGGAACTACCAACAATGCTGATGATTTTGAAATTTGCTTTAGAAGTGAACAAATTTACTTACCTAAAAATGGATATTTTGGTGTCTCAGCTGCTACTGGTGGACTTGCAGGTACATATTTAAATATTTAATAACATTTTTTATAAATACTTTTATTGAAATAATTTTTCACTTTTCAGATGATCATGATGTAAATCATTTTTTGACATACAGTCTATATCCTCCAGGAACAACATTTAAGACTGCTGGAGCACCTCCTCCCACATCAGTTGATGAAGAGCAAAAGTTGACTAAAGAGTATGCAGATTATCAACGTAAATTAGAACAAGAAAAAGAGGAGTATGTATATGACACAATTATTATATTTATTAATCAGTTAATATTTTTAATTGATTAAATTATTAATATTAAAAAATTTCTTGATCAATTAAATTTATTTTTAATTGAGTAAAAAACTATTTTCTTTACAAATAAAATTTTATGTAAAAAAAGAAAATGATTGAATGTTTTTTATCATATATGAAGATAGTGATACAACATATTAACTTGTATCATAATCCTACATTATAAATATTACAACTGACAGAAAAAATTGATAATAATCATGAGTATTTTGAGAATTCTATATTTGACAAACAACATGGAAATTAGCTAATATTCTTTACAAGTTGATATCCAGCATAACGCTAAGTAAAAAAGTTAATTAAGTTATTTAGTTTCACATATGTTGGCGGCACATCATATTACTTCAGATTTACGGAATTAATTATTATAGCAGATCGGCACTTCTATATCCGTCACCACTGTTATGTTCAATCTGCGTATTTATCCTTTGTTCGCTAGATAGCATTTTCCAGTTTTCACTTATAAAATTATCATATTTTTTGTTCAGACCATATATTATCGTTTAGATGGCATTTGGTGTTGATATAATAAAACAATAATTGCTTATATCCCAACAATAACACAGCTGAATTCTGTGTAAAAATTTGTGAAATAAAAAAAAATAATGAATCATTTATAAAAATATTTAGCTCTATAAAAGTGTTATATCATGAATAAATGTTAAGTAAATTAAATTTGAAATACATTTATTCTGTCTTAATAATTTATTTACTTAACGAGATCTTATTTTGAAAACTAAACATCTTCATTATAATACTTTAAATTTGGTACTTAGGATTTCATTATTAATTTTTAAATATATATTTTATTAAATCTGACATATTTATTTGTTAAATAAGGTATTGCTTAATAAATAAATTATTGAGATAAAATAAATATATTTTAAATTTAATTTTTTTAACATATACTCATTATCATTTTTATTGTGCTTAAAAATTTTATTAATTATGTAAGTTTTATTACACTTAACAATTTTTTACATGGAGTTCGATAGTGTTCTTGTTGGAGAATAAATCAAAGTTTTGATATTATTTGAGAACCATTATATTCATATCATTTTTGAATTGGAATAGAAGGGATTAAATCTATTATCAGAATTGGATTGAATTTTACTGAGCTTAAGTTCATATTTCTTAAAACTTGAATAATAATATAATAAATATCATTCTATCTAAAATTTAAATGTTAACTCAGGCATACACAAAATCATAATTGTACCTCTGATTTATATAATAAGTTATACATGTTATTATAGATATCAAAAGCAACATCCTGAAACTAAAGTAAAACACGAAGAAAACGAATTTGATGATTGGTTTGAAACTGATAGTCAAAGAGAACTAAATCAAATATTTTCTGGACAAAGTGCTATTGTAGATTCAGTGAAAGTGTTAAGTCAAAAACTTGATGAAGTTGTTGGGCGTCAAGAAAGAACTCTTAGTTTGTTATCAACTGTTCAGTCTTCTTTAGCACTTGCTGGCACAATGGTTGGACAACAACCAAATGGTAAAATAGTTAATTGTTAAGTTATAAAATAAAAATTATTCATAATATTTAAATTACAACTGTTTAGCACAAGTACCTCAAATGCAAATGAATACAGGAATAATGAGACAAGATGTTGAATCTTTAATTAATACTCAAAACAATATAATTAATTCTATTAGAGAAGTCAGGTTAGTTATTAATATTATTATTTATATTTTTTAGTTAATATTATATTAACTTAAAAAATGATTATTCATTATTTACCTTTTTGAAAAAAAAATATCATAGAAACATTAATGTATTAACACAAGAAATGGATTTATATTCTTTCTTAAAATTTTTAAGTTATTCTGAACACAAAACCCACCAGTATAAACTATCATTAATTGACTTGGAATCTAAGGAATGTGTTGTAACTAGTGGTATAGTTATGGAAGGCTATGGGTGGGTTTATTTCCCTCAAATAAAAAAATATATGTTATTAAATGTTTCATCAGGAAAGTTTTACAAACTTGGACCCATTTAAAATGGTTTAAATGAAATTTATTAATCCATATAAATACGTTCTGTGATTATTATGTATGCTCTACAGTAGTAGTAAAATAATCCACCAAAAATAGCATAGTTTTGTTATTCAATAATAGTATTTTTTTAGAACAACATATATTTAATATAGTTATAACTATGAAATTTTTATCAAAGAAAAATTATATTCAATTTTTTATAAAATTGAAATTATATATTTTTGTTTAGCTTATTACCCAAATATTTGAGAATGATATAAAAAAAAATTGTATAATTAATTTAATCTTTAGTTAAGATAACTTTAAAAAAAAGAATTATCAATATTTTATAGTTTTATAATAATTTAAATTACTATTTAATTGAATTTTTTATCTAGATTAATAAAAATAGTTTAAATTAATAGTTAAAAATTAATTCAGATTAATCTTTAAAAATATATATACCTGTTTTTATGATTTATTTTATTATTTATTCTTTGTCAATATGTCAATTATTTCAATTTTTACAAAAAGATAAACTTTTTAATGAGTAAAATATTCATTTTTAGAAATTATATAGTAGAAGTACATACAAAGGCTGATAACATAATTAGAAATCAAGCCCATCAACCAACTGCTCAAGTTCAACCTGTTGGTGGATACGATTCTATATCAATGATGAATGAAATTAGAGACTCTCTAAATATAATTAAACATGCACAAACTGCACAAAAACCACACCATGCACAACAAATGTCATGCCCTACATGTGCATCAAATACTATTATTATTGCTGTTGCAGTTTGTCAAACTTTATTATTCATAATTTATGCAATTTATAAGTAAATCGAATTTAATGCTTTAAAGTTTAACTCATTAATTTATCTTGAAATTTTCGTTTTGTAGGAATAATAAGGAAACACAAGCGAAAAAATTCTATTAGAAATAGAATTGGCACATATTAGTGAAATTATCCAATAAAACATTCCGCCATCATTGGTATAAAACATATAAAATCATTTTGTTTTTGTCTTTGGATAAAGTTATATTATATTAATATTGTTTATTGATAAGTACCAAGATTTTTAAATATAATTGTTTTTATATTTTGTTGCATTTAAAATTAAGTGTTGTGATGTACAAAATTATACAATAATAGTAACATAATCTCATTTAAATAAATATTTTTGTGTTTTAATATATAAAATTTTCTTATTATTTTTTAATAAAAATTTTTAGATTTGTTAAGTAAAGCATGTAGAATATCAGACTCGTATCACTTGGTTTAGAAACAAATTTTTGTGACATAGTAGTTCCCTCTGTCATCGCCTCAATTATTCAGTTATTAAAAAGGTGTTATAAACATTAATTATAGTAATAATAAATGTATATGTTAGTAATTGTATGTTTATAAATGTACAGATATTTATACAATCAACTAGATACTAGTTAAATGTGATCCACAGAATAACAAGTATATTTTTATTTTAGTATAGTTTTATTTTCAACTCGTTTATAATTATTATACAATTGATATATAATTTTAAATATAATAGTAAATATTTTTAAAATGGAAATAGCAACCCATGTTCTTGACAGTGGATTCAAATGGTCAAATACATAATAAAATATTTATGTTTTTTTTAGAAAAGTAAAAAAAACATAATAAATTAAGAACACATATCATATAAAGAAGACTTAAATTTAAAAAATAAATATAGGTACAGGCTATTTGGATATTTCTGTACTCAGAATAATTTTAACCTGCACACAATTTTTATAGGCACTGGGTAACAACAATTCACGCAAATAAACACAAATATATAATTAAATGTATATTCTTATCATTAACGTAGTGGTCGAAGTGGCTAAAATTAAATGGAAGGATGCCCTCTTCAGTTTTGTTTTATTCCATTATTATTTTTGGTTGGTAAATTAAATGTTAATACTGTTGGTGAATTTTAATAATCTTAATTTAAAGAAAATATTATGAATACTTAAAACAAATAATTAAACCTACAATACTATAGTATATTAATTTTAATTTTATTAATTAAATAATAGCAATACAAAATTACAATTTATAATAGAAAAAAAATGTTTATAAATCAATAAACCTTATGTACATTGTATAATATTAAGGGAGTGTATTATTTTATATATAATAAGTGGAGGGATAAATAATTTTAATTTAAAAAAAATAGAGTGATACTATCACTCTGTAACCACCACTTCGATCACTTCATTAATGTGATTTAGATTATTCTAATACTTAAATGCGTTCCTCAAAATAGATATACCTTGATATTTTGTATTACAATGAATTATAAAAAAATAACACGTTTGTGAAAAAACTTATCAAGTACTAAATTAAAGTGCAAGTGGATGTGTGCATCATTTCAGACAAGAACATCGGTGTACCCGCTCCAAGTCCACCGTCTGTTTTTTCTTGTTCATTATCTTGATCATATTCACAATCAAAATATCGGCTCTGTTATGGAAAAAAATGTTCATAACTTAAGTCATAAGTTTAAATATAAATACTATTAGGATTGGAATAGCACCAAATTATATAGTAAGAAACAGTAACGTATATACGATTTTTCAATTTCAATTTTAGGGCCACTGGATATACCACTAACAAGGAAAATGATTTTTACCAGTTCTTTTACTATCTTAAATTTTATTTTTGTGCCTATTAGGGGGGAGGAGTGAATATCTAATTTTCCTTAATTTACACAAATTGATTTTAAAATTTGGTCTTAATCGTGGCCCTTATTTCCTAATACTATTAATGGATTTATTATTGAGGCCCAATGGAAATACTCCCTTTGACTCAATGGGTTTGTCCAAATCATACTAAATATATTTGATTAATTTTACCTGGCAATCTAAACACCGACAGTGATCACTCATTTTACATGTAATACCCCATTGTGCTGCTACTGCTTTATAAAACTCTTTACTGCTTTTATGAAAAATTTCTTGTCTAACTGGTGAACTAACGTTATTCTCATGGTCCTGCTCTGATTCGATACATTGTTTCTGATTGCAATTTCCAGCTGCTGCGTAATTTTCTTCGTCTATCATCATTTGACCTTGTTCTAAGGATTGTCTCTGTAAAAATATTATTTATAAAGAACAAATTTTTTTAGTAATTTTAATAATTAATGTCTTTTATATACATTGATGTAGTTGTAACCTGAAAGGTAGGTTTAGTTAATTATTATTTAGTTTTACTTGAGTACATCTCGTTACTAGACTTATGTGTCAAAACTCCAGTTGTATGGTCAAATCCAATGGTCTACTATAGAATGCATTCATTATTAACACTGGACTAGAACAGGGAAATGCTCTCATACCAATTCTCTTCAACATTGCTTTTGAAGGAGGTGGTTAGAAACGCATTAAATACAGGTATAGGAGTCAAACTACAAGAATTTAAGACTATCAAGCAAAAATCATACATTGATAATACAGTAATACTGCACCAATCTAAGTTATAATCTAATATTGGGAGAATATGAGCGAAGAAAGAACGAAGAGATTTTAAGCATGTTAAAGGATTCAGAGATAATAAATATAAAGAAAAGTAAAAGAATAAACTGGACAAGACAGTATGGAGTATTAAAAATAAACAATCGGTCAGTTATAAAATCACCAGCTATAAACCGAAGAGCAAAAGACCATTTGGCCGTATAAAACTAACATTAATAGACATAATATATAAAGATATGTTAGGAATCCTGAACGGTAAAGTGCTAGCCAGTGACAGAGACAGATGTAGAAAGTAGTGGTTGCGACGAAATAACAAAACAAAAAAGTCACACAATTTTGAAATATTATTTTTGTCGACTAAATAATTTTTATAGTATTAATATTGAGACAGCCCTTTAGTTATGTAATTATACTTCACATTGTCGTCGTTCAATTCCAAGTATACATTTAGTATACTAAGAAACGAGCTTTGTAATTCTACAATTTAGTTCTCTCCTACCACCTCTATTGGTTAAAAAGTAACATTTTTTTTTGAGTAGTTGATGAATTAAGCATATCATACATTATGTATATATTCTAACCAAATTTTATTGTTCAAATTTTTTAGTCTTACTAAAAATGTCTATTTATAAATTGATGGCTACCTTCAATTCAAAAACCCTAATACGTGTAACCCAAATACGTCACTGATTAAACTTAATATAAATTTCTAATATTATACTCTCAGGTTAAGATATTAAAATATATTAATAAAATAACAAAAAATGTAATTATAAAAAAAGTTCTTTCTTACTTCAGCCAAACTATGTTTGTAACTTGGAGGAGGCGATGGCGGTATTTGTTGTAAACCCATACAATCCATGCTACTGCACCCGGGAGTACATTCCTCTGGAGAGGGTAGGGGTTCTTCATTTTTTTTTGTTTTGTCTTTGTGTTTTTTTTTATCTTTTTTCATTTTAAAGCAATTCACTTGAAAGGAAGTGTTAAATCTACCTCAGAATGCACACAACTTCTTAAGCTATTCGTTTTAAATAATACTTAATAACTATCGCGAAACCATAAAATTGTGTCATTATTTTGATAATAAAAATGATTTACCTCTATAATTTATGTGTTAATAAATTGATTTTAATAATTATAAGTGGTTAAAAATCTTTATTTGAATGTTATAAACGATAACTTACAATAATTACATTAATGTTGTGTTGATTAACAATTCGAATTGTTTTCTGTGTAGTGACAATTTATAATTACTATGATTTTATACTCCGCACATGTATTAACCCTTTCGATCGACTTAACTTCTCAGTTTATAAACATTTTATGTACCACATAGGGTGTTATGCCCAACGCTGATATTATATTGATCTCGTCCTCGTTTGACGGTGGCAGCAGTCCTGTTTTTCTTAAAGCGCACGCCCACACTCGTTATTGTTTTTTCTTTGCCCAGTAAAATAGATAAATAAATACGTTACGCTATAATAATATTCATTTACTACGGTAATACCGGTAACTAATTATAAACATCATGGTCGCAATTTAATATGTTAACTAATTTAAAAGTCATATATATGACTGTAAAATTAGTTAACATTAAAATAAAGTCATAAATATACAGTATATACTATGTCTTATAAGATCCAATAAGCCGATTATACAACATAACATATTAAAAAAATTTACCAAGGCTTATAAAATATTGAAATATGATCTTGAAATAATGGTAATATACAATTTTATAAAGACATATTATTATTATTTTCTAAAGATGTGTGATGAAAACGTAAGACTATCTATTAATTTATTTTAAAAAATGTTATGATTGTAGTAAATAGTATGATTGCCATACTCCCCTAACCCACATGATGTGGGTTTACCCTGCCCTAAATAGACGGGAGGTGTACACAGTCGGGGGATATGGTGAAAGGCATATGTCTCCCATCCCATAGCATGGTGAAATGTTAAGAGTGTAATGGAGGGAGCTCTCTCGTGATAGTAGATATCACAAGTATGGGGGGTTAATCTACATGTGGGGGTACATAAGAAGGGGGGCATATATTATGAAAAAATGAATACTTTTTAGAAATTACTTATTAAATTGTAATTAATAAGTAATTATGAGATAAAAATGTTTAAGTGGTGACGGAATGTGCTTTGCCATTCGCAGAGTTTATAATTGATTTTGTTACATTTAATGAATATTTTCGCATAAAAGACGGACTATTACTCGAGTAAAATTAATAGTGTTGTGTCAGTTAAACGTCTTAAAAATGTTTTCTTGTGACAATTGTGAAAAAGTGTTACCATTCAAACATGGACTGGTACGTCATCTAAATGGTATACGGTTGGGTATACGATTTAAATGTTATTTATGTCCATCTACTTTTTCGGACAAATGGGCACTCTCGCGTCATGTTAAGACAATTCGCCGTAAGTATTACAATTATTATTTAATAAATAGTAACATTAAAAGAGAAAATTTATTATTAATTAAACACAGGAAGATCCATTTGTAATTTATGCCGATTTCGAGAGCCTGTTGATCAAATCCAACAAAGATATGAATGAAAACACAAATTATATACATGATCATGTTGCAATGAGCTATGGATGATACTTACAGTATAATACATAATAGTATACTATTATAATAGTATTACTAGTATTATATAATACATACAGTATACTTGTCTATGGATACATAGTAAAAGCGGCCGACAGTGTACCCATAGAATTATTACAACAGTTTAATATTCAAACGACGCCTAAAATACATAGAGGTAATAAAAGCAGTGGGCCTAGGGAAGTAGCCACTCGTTTCATGGATGACGTAACTGAAGTGGCATTGAAAATTGAACAGTTGCTTAAGACGAACGTTGATATTTGTATGACACACGAAGAAACTGAAGAACATATAAAGAAAACCTGCTGTGACTTGTGTAAAGGTAGTTTTACAGAGAAAAATCATAAAGTAACAGACCATAATCATTTGACAGGTAAATCATACACATAACTGTGTTAAATATAATGTAATTAATATAAAAAGAATAATTTATATATAATGTATATATATATATATAGGTAGTTTTAGAAAAACGCTTCGTAACAATTGCAATTTAAAATTAACAGCGCCCAAGTTTGTTAACGTATATTTTCATAATCTCAGCTCGTACGACGGTCACTTTGTAGTTAAAGCCCTTGGAAGAGATACTAGTAGAATCAGTGTAATACCTGCTACAGAAGAAAAATATATTTCTTTTTCAAAGTTTGTTTCAAACAAATTTTCGCTAAGGTTCGTTGATACATTTCGTTTTATGGGTACTAGTTTAGCGGCTCTTGCTGACATATAATTATTCGGAGAAACCGCAAAAGGGTTTTCAGCGGACGGCGACATTGATTTAGTGACCCGTAAAGGCGTGTTGTACCCGTATTCATACACCTTTAGCTGGGATGTACTAGAAGGAAAACAATTACCGTCAAAAACCGATTTTTATAATGAACTGTCAGAAACCCATATTGGTCATGCCGAATACGAACATGCGCAAAACGATTGGCAACATTTCAATTGTAAAACGCTCGGTGAGTACTCTTATCTGTACCTGAAAACTGACGTAACAATACTTGCGGACGCTTTTACGAATTTTCGCAAGTCTACTAAAATATAAATTGGAACCGGCCTGTCTTTTGACGCTATGTTGCTGCATACGGGCGTTTCACTAGATCTCATAAGCGATTATGAACAGCAACTTTTTATTGAGAGGGTAATACGTAGAAGAATGACAACTTCGGTGTTGAAACATGCCATAGCCAACAATGAAAAGACACCTCATTATGATATCAAACAACAAAAATCTGAAATTATATATCTGGATGTCAATAATTTGTATGGTTGGAGTATGTCTCAACATATGCCATGTGGTGACTTTAAGTGGTTAGCCGTGGACGACGAAACAAAAATTTTAAAGACAGCGGAAGAGTTACCGACGGATTCTCTTGTAGGGATGGCCCTTGATGTGAAGGTGTCGTACCCGAAAGAATTACATGATGCCCACAACTAATTGCCGTTGTTTCTACCTGAACGAAAATGTCTACCTAATTCACGGGTCAAAATACTGTTGTCTACTTTCAATCGGAAAGAAAACTACGTTGTACATTAACTAAATTTAAAACAGGCTATGGCAAACGAGTTAAAAGTAGAAAAGGTAATTCATAAAATAATATTTTAAAAATATAATAATAACATGTTATTAAATTACAGGTGCATAAGGTGTTACAATTTAAGCAGTCGACATGGCTATCAAAATATATACAACTCAATACGGAGATGAGACAGAAAGCCAAAAATGATTTCGAAAAAGACTTTTTCAAATTAATGAATAACGCTGTTTTTGGTACGTTTTAAAATTAAATAAATATACAGGGTATTCAGTAAGTCAGGAAACGGGTATCTATTGTTCTCATTGTTACAAACAATGAGAACAATAGATACCCGTTTCCTGACTTACTGAACACCCTGTATATAAATTTAATTTTAATACGATTTCCTTTGTTAACAGGTAAAATGATACTCGGTTAAAATATAATTGATTGATTAATTGACTCACATAGTAATAAAAACTATGCTTATTGAACTATACCTGTTCATAGCTAATACTTCACCCTCTTACATGTATAATGTTATACAGGATGTTCAGTAAGTCAGGAAACGGGTTTCTATTGTTCTCATTGTTTGTAACTAATAACTCAATATCTAATATTACAACTGACTGTAATAAAATCGGAGTTCAAGACTCCCGAGGGTGTAACAACGGAAATTACAATACCGACGGGATCACATGAATTGGCACAGTTAGAAACCGTATTAAGAAAACTGTTGGAACCATACGTTCAATTGTTTTCTTTAGTTACATTGAAAAGTGCTCTGACGTGTAGTAACACTATTGATTTTACGGTAACCGATAATATCGCGCGGTTATTAGGTTTTAATGAACAAGTTTATGGACCGAATATACGTCATGTTTCAACAAACATTGTTGATATTTTACAAGTTAATACTATATATGTCGAGTGTAATATAGCGACCGGTTCATATGATAATGGACAATCAAGCAAAGCGATCCATGCATTTTTTCCTTCTGTCCCAGCAGGATATAAAATTATAGAAGTACCTATATCGTTAGTTTATTATCCACTAAACACATCTAATGTATACAACGCTGAAGTTGCATTACGGTCTCAATCTGGTGAAATAGTTGATTTGAGAGGGGAAACTTTAACTCTCCATAGAACTATGACTCTTAAGTTTAATAATATATATTCAAGTGTTCGTCGTCCAATACGTAGTTCACAGTCGCCCAGAGCAAAGACAACATCATATTTACCTAAAAAGAAAGCCGCGAGAAAATCGCCGCTAAAAGAAAAAACGAATAAGTCCATTAGCTAACGTAATTTATCGTTTTTAAAATCGTAAAACGTTCTTTGAAATTATGGACGAATTATGTTTAGACGTGACGGAAAGTTACGTGGATCAGTGTAAAATAATTAGTCAACAGGTACAATCATTTTTATCGTATAGCTCCACTGCGCTAGGTAAAAATGATGAAATACAATTTGAAATTCGCAACATGGACAGTTACACTTTACCAAGTGCCAGTTATTTGTACTTGGAAGGTGAAGTGAAAAAACCTGATGGTATGAAGTCCAGTCCTAGATTTATTAACAACGGACTCGCATATTTATTTTCTGAAATACGTTATGAAATAAACGGTACTCAAATACAAAAAGTACGCAACCCGGACATTACATCTACTTTGAAAGGCTATTGCTCATATAACCCCGCTGATATTAATGAACTACACACTGCGGCATGGGACATTACTACTGAGGACAATAAAGACTTTTTCGACTGTACATATTTTTCTGGGATTATACCGCTGTCGCATATACTAGGGTTTGCCGAAGATTATAAAAAATACTCTTAAACTGCACCCAAAATTAATCAAATTGTTCGACGTGGACGAGTCTTCTGAAAAACTTAAATACAGCACGGGAACTTCTGATAATACTGAGGTTGTCAAGCTATTAGACACGAGTATCGCAGCAAAAGAAAAACTGTCTACAGTATCAATTAAACTAACAAAAGTTGTATGGAATATGCCAATCGTCAAAGTGACCGAAAAGGAACAATTAAAATTACTTGGAGTTAAAACAAAAGCTATATGATCTTTTATTTCATTATTTATATTCTGATTACAAGTTTTATGATTTATAAGTGTAATATATGAATAAATTTATATAAATATAAATAGTAATTATCCAAAAAAAATATAATGATCCATACATTTTTCTAAAAGTTATAGCATTATTAAGTTAAAAATATAAAAATGAATTATTTTACAAAAATCGTATTTTTTTTTTATTAACTTTGATATCTATTTTCACCACGAAGACAAGTCCAGAGGTCAAATTTTTTTTTCCATAATAAAGTATATTATATTACCTTTATTTAAAATATATATAAAAGTATCAGACCTTCCGGAACACTTTCAAAAGTAAAGTTGCAAAAGTTCTACTTTCTATATGCTTTTTTTAGATTTGAACCCCCCGTATATAGGGAAATAGTCTGATTAAAAAAAAAAGGATGTTGAATGAAAGATGTATTTGTGATCTTTTGACGTATCATTGAAAGAAATCGGTTCGGTGAGAGCTGAGAAAATGTGGTGACAAAAAAAAACACATCTTAGTAAAACCAATACCTTTTCAACTTCGCATCGAAGCTAAAAACAATTTCATAATTTAATACCTATTGCCGTGATCGACATGTCAAAGCAGAACGGTACAATAACAGTCTCGTCTTTAAACCTACGTATTGAAATTGAAGCATCAGCCGCGTTCCTTGCTAATACAACTGCATATGCTCTAGTAATTTCAGACAATGTATTTACATATACACCTTTTGACGGAACTGTCCGTATAATTTAAATTAATTTAAAAAATAAATTTTTTACACGTTTATGTAAACATTTATTATTAACCTTGTAATTATTATTATTATTATGAAATAAATATATTATATACAAATAACAACACTTTGTTTTTTATTTTAGATTATAAGTTTATTAAAAGAAACTAGTATAATATACAAAGTTATTGTCCATAAATTATTAATGTAGGTTAATTTTCTGACGTGAACCCAACCCAACCTTTAGGAATAGTATTGCATATTCTTCGTCATTCAAACTTCTTATAAAATTAACCATTTCATCATTGTTTGATTGTTGAATTTTAGGGCTCGACCATTTACCGTCGACGTATTGAATGATGCGGTCTATTTGATGGCATAATAGTAAACGTGTTTTTATTTTTCTTGATATTGCACTGTAAGTCCACAAGTCTATTAATGTTTTCGTTATTCAATAACACTCGACACCCATCGACCATCCTGAATTCTAATACTAAATGCATGGTATCGCGGTACAATAATTTGGATATATTAAAATCGACATTTTGATATAACACGATGTTCTCTCCCTTTACCGGAGGTGATTGTAGAAATAATGCTATTTCATCCATCATTCCATAAATAATATTTAAAAGGTCTGCTGACATACTAATATATCTTGAAGGAGTAATAATGCATACCGTAATATTGAAGTCCTCCTTTGGATTCAGGCCCACTTGCAAAAATTTTCTGTCGCTGAACGCAATAGTGTAACTTCTAGCAGTTACACTTCTCAGCTGGCGGTGTTGGTGCGATATAAATGTAACGTTGTTTTCTTACAGGTTCGGCAGCGATATTGTTCATAGAGTAGAGTCTTCTTCTTAGAGCTGATGGTTTTTGATGACTGTGACTTTATCAATGATTTCACGCTCATTTATGCAGAAAAATAAAAAAATTGTATAGGAGGTCAGCAAATCACAGATCACATATCACCGTTTACTAACCCATTCCTTCACCATTTAAACATTTTTATCTCATAATTACAATTTAATAAGTAATTTCTAAAAAGTATTCATTTTTTCATAATATATACCCCCCATACTTATGATATCTACTGTCATGAGAGAGCTCCCTCCATTATACTCTTAACATTTTACCATGCTATGGGATGGGGGACATATGCCTTTCACCATATCCCCCCGACTGTGTACACCTCCCGTCTATTTAGGGCAGGGTAAACTCGCATCATGTGGGTTAGGGGGTATGGCAATCATACTTTACACATCTTCTCTGGTGGCTGACGAGGAGCCACCCTTCAGTCTGCTACTTTTGAGCTAGACCGTGCTCACGAGTCTAAACTTTACTTCTTTTGTAGTTTACTAATTGGAGGGATTGGGTCTGACCAGTGTATCCAACGGGAGGAGGACTTGAGAAGAGCTAAAAACGACGAACTAGTCGTTAAAATATATTAGCTAATTTGTGTATACGTAGGGGTACTACCGACGTATGACAGAATCTAAATCTACTTGAAAAAAAATGAATGGGAACGGTATATTTTATTTTAAATATACGTTACTTCATCAGGCCTAGAAAGAAAATTTCCAAAGTTAAAAAAATTATCGTCGAACTTTTAAGTTACAAAATATAAATAAGTTGAAAAAGTTGAAAAAGTTAAATTTTGTAAAAAATTTGCTATTTTAAATTCCCTCCAATGAGCAGATTAAGTGTTAGATTTTCAAAAAAATGATATCAAATGAAAGGGAAATATCTAAGGTTTTAGTATAAAAAAAAATTATGTTGATGTGTTTATTTTTGAAAAAGTTATGGAAGTTTTAAGAAAAAAAAGTAAAAAAAATGACAAAATTTACCGATTTCTAAATTTGTAATTTTTTTTGGATATTTCCCCCATTTCCAGGGAACGAGAGAAAATTTTTCAATTTTTAAGTGTAATGTCTTCAACTAGATACGATTTGTGGATCTTTTGACGTATTGTTGAAAGAAATCGGTCCAGTGAGAGCTGAGAAAAAGTGGCAACAGACATAAAAAAAAAAGAACACATGGTAAAATTAATACCTTCTCAGCTTCGCATCGAAGCTAAAAACACTGATACAGTGTACAGTGTAATTCTTAAAGTAGACATAGTTTTCAAAAAATCATGGTTGAGTTAACTATTAAATTTTAAGTGTTAAAAAGTTAATAATTTACATTATAATTTATTTATAATGTCTTATTTCAATAATTCAAAATAAAAAAACAAAAATAATTAATTTATAAAGATAACTGAAACATATAAGATTTTTCCATTGATATATTCACTTAAATAAAAAAATATTATTCATTTTTTCATTTTTATTTAATTGTTAAAATTAAAAATAAATTATACATTTTAAATATATGAATGAATATTCCGTGTTATGTCAAAACATACTATTTTTAGATTTTTTTCATAGGTGTCGGGTAATAGGTCTTAGAAGTTAAGTAGATCCCCAGTTTACACATTATCCCCTTAAGCTTTAGTAAAATTTTATGCATTATTTTATAAAAATTAAATGTAGCCTCACCAAATTAGACCAATGTTTTTAATGGATATTTGCATATCATTTTAAAATTTTGTAAGACAGAAACTTATTAAGGCCCTGATTATCAGCTAATTATCCCTACTTTATAAAGGATAAATTTTATCCTTTTTTATTCCTCCAAATTATTGCTGTTTATACAGAAATAATTATTAAAAAATGGTAGAAAATTAAAATTTCTCTCTTTAATGATGTAGTAAATTACGTACAATATAACAATATATTAAAAAATTTTCTATTAATTACAACTAGGAAATAGATTTAATTTATTTTTATCGAAGTATCAAGTAAACTTCAAAATAAATAAACTATTTTTTTATTATATTAAGCATTTATTTATTATATAAGTATTATTAATGATGATGTAAATTATTATAATTTGTTTGAGAACTCCATCTTAACAAATACTTGGAATAGTGCTAGTATAATATTATTTAAATCTGAAAAAATAAATAGAATAAAATAATTATATTACTGCCTATAGTTATATTACTGCCTAACATTATCAACAGCATCTACATCTTCATCATCACTGATATCATCTCCAAACTCAATATCTTCATCCAAACCATCATCAACAAAAGTAACTGTATCATTGATACGAACTAAAGCATATAAAATTTGATTAGGCAAGATACTAAAATTAAATTTAATAATAAAAAAAAAAAAAAGGATATATATATAGTTACCAGTTTCAGGGAATTCTCCGTAAGTTTTCAAATTACGTGCTTCATCAGGAGTGTACTTTAATATAACATCAGCTTTTGTATCTTGATAATCACGCAAACCTATCAATACTATGTCACCTTGATTTATCCATACCTAGAATTTAAAAAATATACTGTTATAATTATAAAGTTCTAATTATAAATAAGATTATCAAATATATATTTATCAATACAACATATTTCTATTTAATTAGATAAAAAAGTATATAATATAATTTTTCAATATAATTAAGAACAATATTTTTAAATAACATATTAATATCAAGTTTTGGATTAGTTGAAAAGCTATTATTTTTATTCTGCCATTTTTTTCAATATATACTATACTGGACAAATTCTGCTATTTAATTAATCAGAAGATAAAATGTATCTAGTTATTGCTGTTAGCGTTATCATTTTGAAAAATTTTCCTGAATTTTAGTATAAAGAGGAGTCTCAAAAAATAACAGGTGCTATAAATTATGACAAGGTACATAATTAGCAAACTTATGATATAATTTAAAAAATGACTGTTCAATAACAACTTTAGAACCAGTACTTTAGAAGACACTTACATTTTAAAGTTATGACTAGAGATAATTTATTTTTATCACTAATAATTTTCTGGCATTATTTTCCATCCTCCTAGGTATAAAAATGAGAATAACTTCTGAAGTACTGATTTAATGTTGTTGTAATGTTTACAAACCCCACCAGTCATTTTTTTTAACTACATCATTATCTATTAAATAAACTAATTAATAATGTATGATACCTTTGGAATAATAGATAAAAAAAATAAAGTTAACACCCCTATAACTTATAAAGGATGATTCTAGAAAATAATTGTTAGCCGATAAATCATGTATTTATTTTGAGAGTAATTGGTTTATGATATTCCAATTATACTGTATTTACATAAAAATGACCTTTTTTTAGGAAACAATATATTGCTTACATCTTTAAACAAAAAATTGTTTGTTTTAATATACTAAATTGCATTAAATCAAAATGGATTTAATTATTGTGTTTTCATCTTTAAATTAATAACTTGGATGAAATCTTCCTTTTCGCAACCACCATTTTTTATAATTGCTAAATTTCTATTATATTTTTCTATCCTTATCAAAATACATTCACATAAAAATAGTCTAAAAATTTACCTTTTTTCTAAGCTTTCCTCGAATATGACAGAGCCTTTTTACGCCATCAAAACACATGGCTTCTAGACGTCCATTGCCTAACATTTTTGTGACTTGTGCATATTCTGAGAGTAAAAATAATACATAAAACTAATATAAAATAATTAAACTTGAATTTTTTCTATTTAATTAACACTATTTTTAATGTTATATCTTAATTTAATATCATGTTTTAATTTGTTACATTTTAAAGACATGCATAGTTACACATAATGCCTTCCATAGAGCTATTACTTTAGTGCTCCATGAACACATTTTATAATGGTCACTTTTACAGAAAAATGTATAACCTTTTATTTGAATTGACAAGTAAAATGAACAACTTTTAAATATATTATGGAAGATCAAATTTTTTCTTGCAGAGATGCCCTTTAAATTTTAGCACTCTGTGCCATTGCACACATAAATTATACCTAAAGTCAGCACTAGCTACAAATAGCTATACAAGCATTTTAGTGTAATAAATTATTCTACCAAACTTTTAATACCTTTATATTATGACAACCATAATAATTTTTAAACATTTTCAAATACTTAAAAATTGTAAAAAATAGTTAATAATATTATTAAAAGTTTTAATTAAAAAAAAAAAAGAACAATACCTTGACCATCTTCTTTAAAAACTAATTCACGTTTTTCGGTTTCATTTTCATTCTTACCACGTCTACGGTTTTTACCTCCTTTACCTGTGGTAATTAATAAATACATTTTAATTATTTAAGAGCAAGTGAACCAACTCTTTTAGAAGTTATAGGGCCAGGTATGAATATTTAATGTCAATTTCTACTTGCCTTTATTTTTGGGCATGATTAAATTTAATTAAACGTTTATACTTGTTCAACTATCTTAGATAATAATTTAATTCATATTATTTTACAAAAATGTACAAATTAATGTAGTAGTCAAAATATCAACAAATTACCTATAGATTCAGTCAAAAACTAACAAGTACAAGCAACTTGTTAAAATTATTTATCAAATCGGTATTAATTTTTATTATAAGCATAAGCATGGTTTTTTTTATCAAATTTTGTAATCATATCACTAAAAGTGATAATGAGCATAAAGTTTAAGGAGTGCCAACTAAAAAGATTAAGTAAGGGTTAGCAACAAAATTTAAATTATTTAAATACGGACAATGTTAATCTTATTTTTCATGAGTTAAGTAAATATTAATAAAAGCTTAATATTCACTATTAGCTTCGATGCGAAGCTGAGAAGGTATTGGTTTTACTATGATGTGTTTTTTTTTTTTTTTTTTTTGTGTCTGTTACCACTTTTTCTCAGCTCTCACCGAACGGATTTCTTTCAACGATACGTCAAAAGATCACAAATCGTATCTAGTCGAAGACATTACCCTTCAAAATTGAAAAAATTTCCCTCGTTCCCCGTAAATGGGGGAAACCTCCAAAAAAATTACAAATTTAAAAATCGCTAATTTTCGAAATTTTTTCAATTTTTTTTACTAAAAACTGCCGTAACTTTTTCAAAAATGAACATATCAATATAATTTTTTTTTATATAGATGCTTGATGTCTTTACTTATCAGTTGGTATATATTTTTTGTAAATTCGACCTTTTTTCTGCCCACAGGGGGGGATTTAAAATGACAACTTTTTCACAAAAAATTAACTTTTTCAACTTAACTTTTGAAAATGTTCCGGAAGGTCTGACACTTTTATATATATCTTAAATTAAAGCTAATGTAATATACTTTAATTTGAAAAAAAAAAATTTGACCTCTGGACTTGTCTTCATGGTGAAAACGGCTACCGAATGCTATTTTTGTGTGAAAATTTTCGATTTTATTATTTATATTATATTTAACTTTATAATGCTATAACTTATTGAAAAGTTTATGGATCCACACAATTTTTTTATGAGAAATAATATTTTTTAATAAACCTTTTTTCATTCGACATACTTTATCTTAATCGAGATATTAATAAGGAACCAGCAGATCAAGTAGCTTTTGGAATAAAACACCAATTTTTTTAAAATTAAACACTATCTAAAGATTTGCATCGAAGCGTTTATTTTTGATAGTGATTTTAATCACTGTCAGATATCATTATACTTGATCCAACTATGGCACGTCACCACTGTGACGCGACCCCCCTGTGCTGGGTTTTTTTAAAGGCATACAAAAATTATTTACTCCTTCTATTTGACATCCAAATACTTATTTTAAAACTTGGCCTTATGTGGAATAATTAATTTCTACCTTCAGGACGTCCTTATTGTATGCCACATTCTGGTAGGAATACCTGGCTTCGTTGCAGTTACCCGAACGATTTTTTTTGCTTATTTGACGATTTACGATGTAGATGAATTTATTGGTGAGCAAAAATAAAATATATTGTTTTGCCCAAGATCCTGGAAAATCTTGGGCCGCCATTACTCATAATATAATATACTAAACATTGAACGATCATATAATTCACATTATTTTTAGCGTGAATTTAATTAAATTATTTTTTTTATACTCGTCGTGAATTAATACTTTTCCTGCAAAACACTTGACTTGTTACTTCGCTTAGTGGTCTGAAATTAAATTTTAGGCAAAGTCCCATTTTAAAATGTACTCAAAATATTAAAACAATTATAAAAACTCAATTCCAGTGTTTGACAAAATATAAAATTTTAAGGTCACATGGTAATCTCGTCGTTATTTATAGCTGTTTGAAGAATAGATATTGTTACCTTACGGTTATTTTATCTTATAAAAGGCCTTTCGTTTTCAATTTTAATTGATGACCTGTAGGATCGCTTGATACTAATAGCATAGTAACATTAAATCTTTTAAATATTACATCTCAAACTTTTTTCAATATGGTGAAGTCTTATTTTTCTATAATCTTTGTTTTTGGCTTTCCGGACTTCCGAAAGTTGATTTAGAAATGTATAACATGATTAAGCTGATGTATAGAATAGTAATGAATATATACAGGGTGATTTTTTTATCATAACCCACTCAATTACTTACAGAATAATAATAATTAAAAATTTTTTTCTTATTATTATCTTTAGTTACACATTATTCTTGAATTATTGACTATGTAATACTTTTTAAGTTCATCCCTTATGCCTGGTAAGGGTGTCAACTTTGTTTTTTTAAATGGTAACACATATTTTGAATTTAATAAAATGTTTGAGTTTTTAATTTAATAGTAAATGGCATTTGAATTTTTAATGAAACTTAATTTGTTTATTAGATATAAACATTTAAAGTTTCAAATTTTTGAGTTAATATACATGTATAATACACAAGGGTTTACAAATACAGGTAGCTAATTGATTTTTTATGACATCGATATTAGCAGGTACACAGCATTGTTATTATCAATGATAGTAAGGTACATTGTTGTGAGTTTATAAATACACTAACTGACAATACAGGGTGATTGACTAACTATGCCTCACGAATTATCTCTGAAAATATAAGAGTTATAAACAATTTTTTTTTTTTAATCATTATGGATCTTTGATGAGCTGTTTCACGAGAAAATTTAAATTTTTACCACCATCCCTTTTGCTTAAAAATAGTGTCAACTTCATATTTTCAAATGGCAACACTATTTTTTTTTTATACCATTATATTTAGTTTAATAAAAAAAAATGTTTTGTAAAAAAAATATTTTATTTTATTAAATATTAAGCGCTCCACGGCTCTCTAAAGTTTAGGGTTTATTAAGAAAAAATCATTACAGACGAGAACGTTATGGATCGTAAATCGATAAGCGCTACCACTTCTTATCGGTACACTAAATAATAACGATACTATATTTACCCGACTACTGTTTTATTTGTTAAATCCCCTAAACTTTAAATAGTAATATCTCGCTTAGAATTTATTAAAATTGATTTTTTTTTTTTT